CCTTCCGCAGGTTCTCCTACGGAAACCTTGTTACGACTTCTCCTTCCTCTAAATGGTGAGGGTCAGGTTCAATGAACCTTCTCACAGCGCCCCCAGCGGCAATTCGCCGAGATCACTGGTGCGATCTTACCCCCCTTTTATGAAGCCGTACTCCCTCTGTGGTGTTCTGCCTGCTCGTCCTCACTGGTCGCAATGTGCCACGTGGCGATGGACCGGTGGGTTTCAAAAACCACGACAAGTAATTGGCTTGTCGCGATCGCGACCTGCCACCATTCTCGCAGGAGGGGACGTGTCGCTCGTGACAGCCTTTCGTCGGGGTCGGAACGCCTGCCTGCCACCTGTCCCTGTCTCCTTCTCATTGTCCGCCTCCCTCCCTCTTCATCCTCCTCCTTTCCCTCTCGAATAAGTCTATCGAGCAGTTGCCCTGTGTCGGGATCCGTGCTCAGGCCTTGATTGCGACGCTACCCTTCTGCGATCCGATCTGATCACATGTCGGGATCGGTGCCTCCCAGGCCTTTCTCGAGATCCTTCCACTGGACCTCTGCTTCGTCATGCCGTCATCCTTCTCCTCCCTCCTCTCTCCTCCCTCCCTCTACCTCCTCTCTCACGCTCCTCTCTCTCCCTTCTCTCTCTCCCTCCATCTCCTCTCTCCGTCCACCTCCTCTCTCCCTCCACCTCCTCTCTCCGTCCACCTCCTCTTTCCCTCCACCTCCTCTCTCACCCTCCTTTTTGTATTCCTGCGTGTTTTAGCAGCATCGTGACCGGCGTGGCAATGAGCTATCAAGCAAGCATCCGAAATCGACCTGCATGGCAACTCAGCGAGGAGGCATGTGGCAGACAAAGTGCCCCACAAGCCTTCTCCAACGCCTCCCACCTCAACTCTTCTCCCTGAACGTCTTCCTCCGTCACGCCCTCTTCCTTTTCCACTGCCTCCCCTTGCTCCTCGTGCTCCTGCTCACTCCGGTTCGTGCGTAGTATGATCCTAAAATCGAGTTGACATGCCACATTGCATGCATGCCGTTGCCGCAACTTGCCACGTCATCATCATCATCTATCATACTTCCACGTCCTCCTCCACCTCTACCTCTGCTAGCTCTTCTCCTCTTCTCCTCTTCTCCTCTTCTCCTCTTCTCCTCTTCTCTGACTCTCTTCCTCCTCTTCCTCCTCCCTCCCCTTCTTCTTCTTCCTCTCTGGCTGCTCAACTTCTTCCTCCTCCTCCTCCTCCTCCTCCTTCGTCTGGCGTTCTTCCTCCTCCTTCCTCCTCCTCCTCCTTTTCTTCTTCTTTCGCCTGGCCTTCTTCCTCCTCTTCCTCCTTCCTCCTCCTCCTCCTCCTCCTCCTCCTCCTCCTCCTCTTCTTCTTCTTCTTCTGACGTTGAGGGAGGAGAGTGCGATGATCTCCGGGTTGGTGGAAGCCCCTTGATAAATGCCGGTGCGCAACCAGCTTGCGGGTCGGGTATGTGCGGATTACGAGCTATGGTGTGATCCGTGCAGGTGCATTGATGACTTTTTTTGTCAATGTAAGCGTGACCGCGTGGCGATTGGCCTGGCTGCTTCATTCGATTCTGTTCTTCTTCCTTCCTCCTCTTCCTTCCCTCTTTGTCTCTTCTTCTCTTCTTCTTCCCCTTCTTCCTCTTCCTCCTCCGCCTTCTCTTCTTCATCCTCCTCTCCTGCTGCTCCTCGTCTTGCCCTTCTTCTTCTTCTTCTTCTTCTTCTTCTTCTTCCAGTTCCCCTCCTCCGCCTCCTCCTC